CAGTGCTCAAGTGCTGGACGACTATAATCAATGGTCTGTTAATAAGTTTGTTATCACTAATCATAAGGATTTCAGCGCAACACTAAATCAACTGAAGTCTAATGAATTGGGTTTTATAGTTACTATCATTTGACGTATCATTTTTTTCACTTTCATACATTACTTTGAATTGAATTGTGTTATAAGAAATTTGGTATTCATTGGCGTAATAATTACTGAAGTTATTGTAATTTGTTTCAATTAATTTATGATCTTTTGATATTTTATATATTTTATTGTTTATTAAAACGCAAACATATTTTCTGTTAGTTTTAAGAATATATGAATTAATTTGTTGTATATTTTGAAAGTTATGTTCAGATAGTATTTGTTTTGGACATTTTGCAATTATTTCGTTATTATTTTCAATATATTGTCCGCAAAAATATAAGCCATTTGTTGTCAGAAAATATGTCCCAAAAACAGACCGAGAAATTGTATTTACATTTTCTATGTTTGATATCAATCGGGGTTTAAATATCATATCATTGGTTATATTTTGTCCCATTTTTTCTGTCTTATTATAACCCCAACTGAAGACATGTCCGTCGGTTGTGATGGCAAATGAAGAGCGAGAATAGCAATAAATGTATTTTATTTTGTAATTATTATTAAATTGTATTTCAATTGGTGTACAAATATATTTATTATAACTTCCGCAACCAATTTGTCCCCAACTATTCCAACCCCAGGCATACACCCGGCCATCACTTGTGAGGGTCAGAGTGTGTTTATAACCACAACTAATTTGTGTAATATTTTTATCAGTAAATTTTGTAATTACCTCTGGTTGTAGACAAATTGCATAATTATTTGTTTTACCTCGGGCCAATTGCCCGTGTACATTATTTCCAAAACTATATATCATATTCAATTCATTCACTGCTAACACAAAATCACATCCATTGACAAAGTATTGAATGTTTTTGTGACATAATTGTGGTATTATTTCTGGTGATGGTATAGGACTGTCGTATCCTAAACCCAAACAACCTTCATTATTAAAGCCCAAACCATAGACAATATCAGTGTTGGTAATAAATAGTACATTATATTCATTTTCATAATTATAAAATACGTGTAGTTTAGTGATAGTTTCGTAAAGATATATCGGAATTGTGTCACAAATTGAAAATTTTTTTATTAATTGGTGCATTTTAAAAAATTAAATAATTATTGCTAAAACAATAGTAATTTCAATTACAAAATATTTAAACATACATTAATATAAATAATTAAACAATAGGAATGTTACTATAATGATAAATATTAATAAATACACTTTACGTTGTTTTCACAAAGAATGATATAAAGACTTTAATTATAGTTAATGTTAAATTATATTAAAGACTTGAGTCTAACCTTTTGATAACAACTGTAATAATCACTTAAATCTATGGAGACATAAAACATCATACGATATATGATTAAAATATTGGTTTTTATAGCTGTGATGTTTATTATATTTAGTGTTCACAGTTATCTGTTAAAACATATAAAACCATATAAAACACACTAAATTTAAAAATAATACAACTTGGTTTTATTAATTAAACCACATAAAGCCAGATTTTGGGAGTTATAAATGTATAAATGTGACAAAATATCCCATATTTTTGTGAGTGTTTTTAAAATTATTTGTATATTTGTTAATAGTTTTGTAAATTTAATTGTTTTCGGTAAATAAAATGCCAAAAAGAAAACAACTTCAAATAAATGGATTAAATTATATTTAGATTTGAGGGTTAAAGAGAATACAATCACAAAATCTGATATTATTACACCATATAAAACCATTTTTCAAAAATTATTGATGAACCACCATATAACACCAGTTTATTCTTACAAATAATAAAACCATATAATACACACTACATTTACAAAAATAATAAAACCATATTTCCGTGAACACTAATTATATTATTTAATGTAATGTTATATGCCAAATTATAGTATAATGTGTTTATTATCCAGATAAAAATGTAATACAAATTAAAATGTTTTTTGCCATTTGTTTTTTAACTTTATGTTTGTAGTCCTTTTATACACACTCTTTGAGCTCATATTTGATACACACTCTCATTGATAGCCCTTTTGTATTGCAATACATTGACAGCTGTTTTACACACTCTTATAATTTAAACTTAAAACTTTTTAGTTTTAGTCTTAAATCTAGTTTTAAATCTATGCAAACATTATTTACAACTTTGTAACTGTTCACATTAAGTTTGTTTCAATTATTTCATTACGAATTTTATATTACTTCATAGTATATTATTATTTAAATGTAAAATATTCATTAATTAATTTACTATATAATGCAAATTCACCAAGCCACTTACTATTTAATTAATTAACATTAATATAGTGCGTTATAATTAAAGTAAATAGTCTAATATTTAATTTGTGATTTTATTTTTTAATTAATACAATTTATATTTAATAAATATTATATTTATATTGAGAGAGAGAGAGAGAGAGAGAGAGAGAGAGAGGAGAGAGAGAGAGAGAGAAAGATGATTAACGATTCACGTTATAATGAGTTATTAATTTGCTGTGCGAAACAATATCTCATAGAAGACTGAATTCGTATTAGATTTAAGTTTATTTAACACTGAATTAAATTCCTTATCATTAATGATAATAGTTTTGTCTATTGACCACTCGTTATGTGTGGCCAACACTTCCCGACACTCAGGCCGTTGTCTCCATCGCGGAGTTGACATCATTTTCTCCAGTATTTTATACAAACAATGTATCGGTTTCTTAATCACTGAGTCTTTGGCTTCAAATGTTTGAGAGCTTTAATCAATTATAAATGTTAAAAATAATTATTAGATTTACTTAAATTATTGATAAAACACTTACGCAAGAAGATCAATACCAAGCAATTTCTGGCCGATTATAGACAGACTATAAATGTCTGATAAGTGGTTATAAACACCGCCTGAAAGCACTTCGGGTGCCATATATGCAATGGTGCCCACACCTGATGTGTGGCCATATCGGCTGGTATTGTGTCCATTGATGTTGTGTTCGGTGGCCAAACCAAAGTCACACAGTTTTATGATACGATTGGATCTAATGTTGGGATCAATTAATATATTATCGGGTTTGAGATCCCGATGAATAACTGGAGGGTTGGATTCATGCAAATACTGAACACTTTCTAGGATTTGTTTGAATATTTCACATGAAATGTAATACTCGAATGGATTCATCGATTCTACCGATGATTTCTTTATAAATGTTAGCGATTTATCGTCCAATACTGAGCGCAGATTTTGCGGGCAATACTCCATCTGAATGTACAACTCATTGGTGTTGCCGTCGAGCCATGAGTTGTAATACTGAACGACATATTCTGAATTAAGTTTTGCCAAACATTTCACTTCTTTCAGATATTTATCTTTATTTTCTTCACTAAAATCTATTTATATATAATTTAACGGGAAAATACAACAAGAATTACACAGTTTTTACTCAGTTATAATGGACGTTAATCATTTTTAGAGTTACTAAATTGTTATTCATATTTACCCCCAAATTGTACTCTTTTAACGGCATATATCTTATCATCCAATTTATGCTTTACTTTAAATACAGTCCCAAAACCACCCNTGTACTCTTTTAACGGCATATATCTTATCATCCAATTTATGCTTTACTTTAAATACAGTCCCAAAACCACCCGAACCTATGGCTGACATCTCAATGAATTGGGTTTTATAATTTCCATCACTTGTAATTTGAATGCCATTTTCGGTTTCTATTAATTTTTCATTAAATTTTTAAACAAATATAAATTTAATGGTTGGTTAATTAAATTAATGTGAAATAAATTACCACTTCTAGAACTACTGGAGCTGGCCATAAACAATCTTGATTGATTTACTTATATAAAAATATTAAAATTTTAATAAAATTTATTCAAGCAACATTAATAAAAATTACCATCAGTGTCTTGTATTGAATTTACTTTATTAATATCACATTCTTGTAATAAGTTTACCAAGTCATTTGAATTACGATTATGGGTTGTTTGTGTTATTATTTCATTAATTTCTTTAAATTGTGATGTATTATAAGATAATTTATATTCATTAGTATAAAAGTCGATGTAATTATTATACAGTCGATTTCATATTCCCTTGCGCGTGTTATTTAATGTTTACGAGTAAACTAGGTTATATTTTAAAAATCTAATTCGGTACGATTGTGGGCATTTATGGGAGGCAAAAGTTGGCTATTTTAA